ACTATGGACCTTTTTTGTGTCTGGAATAAAGATTGATTGATTGATTGATTGATTGATTGATTGATTGATTGATTGATTGATTGATTGATTGATTGATTGAATCTATAAGATAAATCAACTTCAGATAAATTCATTAATCAATAACTTGCATCCTTAAGGAGTTAACTTAATTTATATCTACTCATATTCATGTAATTAAGTGTTTTAATGATTTGGCCGATTAATCGATTAATCGAAAAAATAATCAACTGATTAATCGATTATTAAAATTATCGTTTGTTGCAGCCCTAACTGAAAAACATCTGTACATGCGGTATTTGTTCTGACTTTACCTTCTTCAAAAATAAAGACCTCCCTTAGATTATAATTATTTTCACAAACCTCATAAAAAAACCTTTGAATAGCATCAGGAAGATTTACTCGATACAGTATTTCCAGTGTTCTGAAATACACTATATCACCAAATATGATAATGCAAAGTCAAATTTATTGTTGATRTATACAGAATTTTCATAACAACCAAAGGTAACATAGTTACTTGATCGTGGTGTAGAATTGAACTATATACCTGGAAAATACATAATACCCCTAATAACCCATAATAACCTTTATTGAAAGAACTGGAGATCACATCCACAGACACTTGCTCCTTTTATTTTATTACTTTTAAAGTCCGGACAGTTTTTGTTTGAATTCATGTATTTATTTTAGTAAGTTTTATTTGTTGCATTGATTTTAATGTTATATTTTTGTATAACAGGTCTCTCTTGCAAATGAGACAAACCCCCGCCCCCATGGCACCCCTGGATATCAAGTTAAATCTGTGATTTAGAAGGGTCTGCATTTTTAGTAGGGGCTCTGTGTCTAAAGGTCAGATGCTAGGCMCCCCCAGTATCTGTGTTCCTCACCCTTGGTGTCTGCATCCTCCCGGGGTGAGAGGCTGTTATCCTTCCTGGGACTGGAGCTCCGACCATCCAGAGAAGCAAACCGCAGATCCTCCTCCTCCTCCTCTTCCTCTTCAGCTGCCTCCTCATCATCACCTGAACATAACCGATATAAGCGTTGAAGCTCCATTAATTGATTAATTGAAAGACAAGTGGCTTAAAAAAATGTTCGCCTTTTTTTTTTCTTTTCAAATTAAGATGAAAGCCAGAAGCTGTGAAATGAACTCCCTCCTGTGAGCTCACTCAGCTGGTAATTCCTCAGCCTTTGCAGCTGCAGCACATTTAATAACATGTCTAAAATGTGCAAAGATAAATAAATCCCATCAGTTTTAAGTGCTGGGTCCCTGTCAGCAGTMGTAAACGCACACACAGCTGTATGAAGCAAACATGGCAGACCGGGTTCTCCGCAGTCAGGCATTTCCTGGGACAAAAAGTGCCATTTTCTGCGACAAATGGGGTAAATCAAAAGAGACGTGGAGGAGACAGACAATGCTTTTTGTCTGGTGGGCGGCTCTGCTCTGGCTGTCAGCTCACCTCCCGGCTGGAAGAGGAGAGGAGAGGAGCAGAGCGGCGGTGTGACACCTCGGAGCAGCCTTTTTACACCACTTATTACACGAGCAATCATTTATTTTGTTTTTTAAATGAGCAGAATATATAACAGCAAACTTGACTTTTTATCTGCTCGGGMTGTGGGTGAACCCGACACTTGCAGGTGAAAGAGTGGGGGATAAGTGACAKTTTCACTTAACCGGATAAGTTGAGATAAGATTAACCAGATTATCACTTTTCAAACCACAAAGTTACCACGTTTCCAGAGCTAATTTCTTGGTTTATTTAAGAAGATTTAAAAAAAAAAAAGTAGCACTTGAAAGCACGGCGTGTCCTCTATCAAAAATCAAAGTAAAATGGCGAAGATTGAGCAACTGCAATTTTTACATATCCCGCAGCGGCAGAAACACGGGAGACGTAAGATGAGAAATGAATGCCTCGCAGGCACGAGAAGCACACAAACTGTAAAACAAGCCACACAACAAGTCAGAAAATTATCCTGATTTATCCCCTAAACGGAGCCAGGTCTCCTCCCCTCCACCTCTAACACAACAATGACCCGCTTTATGAGCTTTTTGACGTGCGTGTCATGAGCTACCTGCGTGGCTCCGCGCGACATGGGGTCTTTTTTCCATGGTCTCACGCGATAAAAGAGGACTGTTTAGCGGCTGCTGTCTGGATACACACACAGCCTGTCAGTGTGTGGAGCAGGGAGGACGCGGCGCGAGACGTGCCGCCGCCGTCGAGTGATCCGAGGGCACGCGGTGCGCAGAGCTCCCTGCGCGCGCTACTCACCGGTCCGCAGTGCATCGGACTCCTGGCGGCTGGAGCCAGACAGGTTCTCCGCTATTGTTTGGGTTTGCGGGGAGGTGGAAGCAGCCATTTTGCCCCCAAACGCACCGCGGAGCTAAGGCGTGACCAATCGAGTGAGAGGCGGAGGTGGAGATGAATGCAGGCGAGTGCCACATCAACCACCGCGGGCATAAGACACACACACACACACACACACACACACACACACACACACACA